CATTTTGGATCTCCAGTGATTGATTGATTGATTGATTACTGGTGTGATGCAGCAAGTAAATTATTCTCGCAAGTGTTCTCAGCACATACAACGAATCCCACACATTCCATGCTAGAAAATAAGGATCCACTTCGGATTTTTTTTTATCCAGTAAACTTTATTTATATATAACAACAGTACAAAGTGAGTCCTTGGCTTGCAAAATAGGAGTGTTTCATATTTACAATAGGTACACAATCATATATTAGAATAACAAAAAACCTTTTTTCCTCAGAACATTTTTAAATACTTAAACTTTCTTACATTTTTCCACAACACTTGTATAAACAACAAAAACCAGACAACCATCTTTAAAAAAATTTATCATACAGAACTCCAGTGTGTCAAATATAAAGGGAAACAGGGGAAAGCTAGGGAAAGGTTATGATTGTGGAGAGGGCAAAGTATAAAGTTCAATTTATTATCCATGACTGCTTGCCTTATAATTGGTATGCATTTATTTTTAAGGGACGGGCCAAACAAATTAAGAAGCCCTTCCACCCTAGCAAATCTTTATTTGAATACTCAAACCAATCCTTTCTTGAAGGTCAAGAAAGTTTGGTTACAAATTCCCTGCCCACCTCCTAAATTCATTTTACTACCAAGTTTCTCTGCAGAAGAAACCATTAACAAATGAGCACTTTACATGGTACCAATAGGGATATCTTGCAGTGGTACATTTTGCGTAGAAGAAATAGCAAGGCAAAGTCAGTATTATGGTACAGTGCTTATTTACTTTTAATGACTTCCCCTATATGCACATCCATGTCCTGTCAGGGACGGGAGATGACAAAAATATGATAGGAAAGTCTGTTTTCATCGTCTCCCCAACCCCTCTGTAGCAGGAAGTACTAGAGAGCTCAGAAGAAAGCCTGATCAGGGTATTTCTGGTTTGATTTTATAGACCTACGTGGCCTGGAGAGCTCAGATCTGTGGCCCACTTTTGGGTGCTTTACTGGAAGCTGCCAATGTGAGTTATTTGCCCATTGCAAAAAGGGGGAGGCAGGAGAGAGGAGAGAGAGAAAGAGACTTTTTACATGGGGTGGGGGGAGAAGCTGGATAACACAAAGACAAATGGGAATTTTTAGACTGACTTAGATAAACACAGAGACACTTCAGTGTTAACAATACAGTCAAAACAAACGGTATCCTCTGAACTGTGGCCTGATAAAGATACGCAATGGAACCTTGACTAGCCAAGGGGAACCCCTCTTTTTGAAGGAGGCTACCCTCAAGCTGTGTCTGAGCCATTGCCAGCAGGTACCACAAAACACTGCAGGGATCACCAAGGGCTGTAGAGCGCTTAGGAAATCCTGGTACAAGAGGTTTGTCCTTAACATAGTTGGGAAGAAACAGTCACCCTCTATTTCTGTAATATTGGGCTTGCCACGTTGCCCTGAACTAGAACAGGAGCATTGGTAATGGGGGACTTTTGTGAAGAACAGAAAAAACAACAAGGCCTTTCTTTCAAACTGGGAGCGTTTATGAAGGTAAGAGGTAACGACGTCCCTTGCACTGTATCGCTTACTGGAAACTGAACAGTGACATTTCCCTTCTGTGGAGCCTTTTAAACAGTGAGAAACATGTTCCAAGCTTTTACAGTTTTAAAAATGCCTCCCCTTTAAAAACTAGCTGCATGGGCCTACATTTAGGATTTTGCATTTTGGGTTATTCAAACTAGTTGCTTCCAAAGAGCATTGCCTTAAGAAACCTTAGTGTGTAGCTTTGCATTTTTAACCCAAATGAGTCCCCCTGTATCGAATAAAAAATGGCAGCTGCTCTTCTCTGCATTAATATTGTGGGGCTCTGTAGTTCCTATCCACATCAGCCCTGCGCTTCTCATCTGCAGATCTTGACAGGCCTGAGACAAAAGGTTAAAGGCAGAAGGGAACTTAGGGAAGGGATCAAGTTTTCACTGAAGACACATTCAATATACAGATCAGACTGCTCACCAAGCTTTATCTGGGAAGTAACTATATACAACATCACAGCTCTGTATTACCGGCTTAGGGTTTATGGGCCAATGGAATACTGAAACATGACGACTGAAGCTTTTGCTGTATTTTTAATGCATCTTTGATATTGGTTATTTATCGTTCTCTGAGCATTTTTATTCTGCCTTTTCTCAAGAGGGATAGTCACCAGTGAGTCTCCCCCTGATATGTCAGCTCAAGTCATTCTAGTTTTGTTTCATTTAGACAGCTGAACTGAGTCCTCCTGGCAGGCAAATACATAGAGCAGTGGAAACAGAAAAGGAGAGCTGACCGTGCCAGGCGGGGAAACCACAACCCTGCCACTGCTGCTGCTAATGGGAAATGTTCTAGGTGCGGGCTGAAAAAGTAACCCATGTTACAGGAATAATTCTTAAAAGTGTTTTATCCCTTGTCTAGTTCCTGAAATCGGGAAGGGCATGAGAAGCACACGGACCAGCTTCACTTCACTTCTTTTGGAGTTGTGGGCACTCAGGATCTCTGGTGAGTCGGACTCTTTAAGTGCATCTTGTGTAGGACCAAAAAACCCACCCAGAGGTATCTCAAACTGGTAGCCAGTGCTGAGAGCCCTGCAAATCCGTGGATATCTGCATCTGCAGATGTGACTGTGGATAGCCACGGCTCACTTTTGCAGATACAGGTGCAAATGCAGATACAAATGTTGTATTTAGAACTCTGCAAATTTGCGGATATCCGCTTTATAGCCAAAGGTATCCACACCCATGGATGTGAATGGGGAAAGCCGCATCTCATTTTGCAGATACAGATACCAGTTTTGTACCTAAGCAGGGCTCCACCAATACCGATGTGTCCACGCCACCCTATGAGCCAGCCAATAGGCAAGAATAGAATCCTGATTCTCATGCTCTCTACTCTAATCTCAACAGTCCTAGCCCAATTGTTGCATGTACAGATTGTAATGAGATTGTTGGTAAAGATCCATACAAATGTTTATTAGCAATACAATATACTCTCTAAGTGGAGTTGTGTAGTCTGGGTGTTTAGTTTGCACAGGACTGGCACTGAATACTCATAAGAGGAAGGATTCCATTGTCATGGGAGCAGGACAGCTGCATGCAATGTCCCTATTATGCCAGAGGACCAGGAGAATATGGGAAAAGATTTGCATCTCAAACTTTCAATATAGTGCACCTGTCACACAAATCTCCCTTTTCGCTCTCTGCCTACAAAGTTGCGCATTAGCAGCAGGGCTGTGGCTTTTTTTTTTTAATGCATGTTTGCCATGACAGTTCTTAATATAGCTACAGGCCATTCTTCATATAGATGGATGTTATGAAGACTTCCACAGTTTCTCTATTCTGATGTCTCCTGCTTCACTTTAAGCACTGGAGGATTCCTTTACCCACCCTTTATGGGAAGAAGTAGGCAATATGGCCTCCATATCTCTCTGTCTTCAAACCTTATTGTCATTCTGGTATAAGTATTCAGCACAGAAGGATGCAAACATAAAGAAGGTCATGTGACTTGGCTGACCAATCAGGGTACTATGTGTATCTGAAACAATGGTCACAACTTGTTTGCAAGGCTCAAAAACATTCACAACATAAACCATTTGATGAACAGCAAAAAAAAAAAAAAAAAAACCCAACCCAAACAAACAAACAAGCCCCTGTCAAAACCGAATCTTTTAGGGGCTATCAGAAATGTGATGCTCTCCAATCTTCTGTAATATTAGTAGCAAACCACATGACAGGTTAACAATTGCTGTAATGATTAGGTATTACATTTGTCAACTGCAGACAAGACCGTGACGCGAGGACTTTAACAGGACAGCCTGGACATTTCTACTTGTTCTTTGACATCAGGAACTCTCTTGGTAACAGGAATCCTGTCTTCTCTGCTGCTTTTCCTATTCCCTCCCTTGCCCTCCTCTCAGAGCCTTCTCCTTGCAAAGCTTAGCCTATTGTGAATGTCAAAAGCTTTGGCTTATTGCACAGGGCCAGTCATTAGTATTTCTTTCAGGCTATTAATAGGATCCAGAGAAACTCACAAAGGCAGATTATCAGGAGAAAGTGGACTTGGCATGGCTTTTTAATGCACTGTAATTAAAACAGCAAGTTTCCTGAGTACTTGTCTGAATGCTGTTCCCTGCCTTGTCCCTCTGTTGGCTGCCTTTAGAATAGAGACTAACAGCCTGTGACTCAGTAGTGATCTTAACCTACGTGGCAATAATTTGACACCGTCCCCTCACACACTTCTGCTGCAATGCTGCAGGCTGGCAAGCGGTTATCAAAATGGAATGTTCTTGGAGACGCAGCATGACAGCATGCATCCATGAGCAAAAATCCTACCCAACAACTTGAGCATGACTCTGTATGTGCCCAATGGTCCCTACTGGCAGATCCCATTGTATGGCCTTTAAGCAAAGGAAGATGAGAAGTACTCACTCCTCTCCTGAAGCAGCAGATTCATACTGCCCAGCACTGGGGTTATGCGCCTCTCTGACCTCAGTAGTACAGTGGCCTCCCTTCTTCTTCCCACACCCTTAATCTTTTGGGAGCAGACAGTTGATTTTCATTGAGTCCTGCTGTTGAGATCAGGTAGCAGCTAGCCTCCTGACCTGCAAAGTGATCAACACCCTCCACCTCACGGACGTCAAGAAAGTTTTTTAACAATTCTTTATATTAAAAATACATTAGCTAATCCTCTTCCACTTCCCCCCAAATATTAGTACGCTCTCCATTTCAGGGCTGGCAAAAGAATCCGAGAGAGATGACATGACTAGCTTGGAATCATACAGCAAGTCCATAGCGAGCTCCCAGTCCGATTGCTGTGTCTAGTAGCACACGCTGCCTCTCTGCAAGGAGACTTAAGGTTGGGCCTTTTCAAGTCTGGTTTTGATTCCATTAAACAAACTCTGGTCGCTGTTTGGCTGCAACCTCCAAGGCTCATATGGTTAACACTTCTATTTCCATTAGGTCTAATCATCATCCTCCTCCACTCACTGCAGTCTGCACAAATATCAGTATTTATTACAGAGAGAAATATTTACAGCATTCCATCCGCCTCTTGGCACTCTTTAAAGGGACAGGAAAGCTTTGGTTTCTTTTAAAGGAATAACACTCACAAACATTTGTCTTTCGCTGTCCATGAAAAGATGGGCTGCTATGGCCAGTTAGAAACTGAACCGAACAATGAGAAATAGAGACAAAGACAACAATGTTAGCTGGCACTCTGAGTGTGTCATTATGGACTCTCTCATCTTGAGTAAAGATTCTCTCTCTCCCATTGAGAAATAAAAACTCCTATGCTTTACATTTGGGTGCCTTTGCATATGCTGAGGGAAAAATGTAATCGGAATCTGTCCTGATCTTATGCGTAAATATAAGAGAGTCTCAAACAGAAAAGCAATAAATATGTTATCTCACTTTGCCTACGCTTTTCAAGTATCACTTGCTGTAAACATGATTTTTTAGTTGTTTTTTTTTTTTTTTTACTGCAAGAAATCACATTGTGGCTGGAATAAAAGAACTCTAGTCAACGAACACCCCAAGCAATTAAGTCCCGCCTAGCTCTGTTCAACTGCGCAAGATCAGCCAATTGGTTTTGCTTAAATTGCACCTGCAGAAAACAACAATGCACCAATTTCAGGTGAAACTGTGTATGACTTTCCTTAGTTTCACATGCCACATAGGGCAGAACATTCTTTCAGAACACGAGTGAAGCAAACAAAAATACTGCAGTCTTTACACCTGGGTGGAGCTGTGTGTTGAAATGGAATGGAAGTAAAACAGAGAAAAATGTTTAAAATCAGACCCACCATCATTCAACAGTAAGCGGGATTTAAAAAATATATATATATATATATATATATATTGACACTATATAAATACATATAGATAAAGCTGGATTTCAAGACAAACAGGTTAGATGATCTGATGGTTTTATAATTCAGGTAAAGTTCCTTCTGGTGCCACCGGATTTACGTCCAGGTGAACTACTCTCTTCCTTTGTGTAAAAAGGTTTGGTGCAAACTTGTGCTCATATTTTTGAAAAGTTCCCAAGACAAGGAATAATTTAATTTTCCAATTTTTCAAATTAGCATAGGAGTCCGTTCGCAGAATGTCTGAGCCACACACCACAGGAAACAGATGAGCGAGAGAGAACTTGGAACTGAATTTTCTCGACGGAATTCTTCGTGTGGCCACTGTGGTTGCTTTACTATTTTTTTTCTTTTAAAAAAAAATCCTTTAAATAAAGTTTTAGTTATTTCCTAATATATATCACATGGTTTTTGTTTTCATGCAAAGCAGCATCCATTGAAGCATCCAGGCTTCTCAGATTCCTTCCTTCCACACACGACTTGAAGGATTACTCCTGCTTGACCTTATTTTGCTTTGAGATGCTCTGTCCTTCTCGCTGTCATTTCAAACTGGAATCTAAATGATTTTGAACTTAGGATCTGGGCCAGTCCCTGCTTCTCCCAGAGGACCTCTCAGTGTTTATATGGGTCCAGTGCCTTCCTTGCTTGTTTATGCTCTTCATTCCCAAGAGCCTTGGCAGTAACTCGTTCCTTCTCCTTGGCCTAAGAGCACCAGCCGTCTCCTTTCTTCAGCTCTCAATAGACATGGCACAGATAAGCTGTTCTACTTTGTATGCCAAGCGCTGCCTGCGCGCCTGCTCGTCCTGTTCCAGAGCCCCAATGATCTGGTGCAAAACAAACAACATGATTCATGTAAACATTCCAGAAAGGAGGGACAAGGAAATAAATGGATTGGGAAAGGGGAAGGGGGAGGGATAAATAAAAAAGGAAAAATCTGGACTTCAGACACAGCAGCTGTTAATGATAACATACAGCCTTCCCCGAGCACCACAGGGGCAGTGGTTAGTGAAGCTGGCAAAACAGAAGTACTTGGGGCAGGCTAGGTTGATGCCACAGGGCTGGTACAGGGCTGGCAAGCCTTGCCCAGGAGCTGGGAGGGTCTCCCGAGGCTTATGGGTCATTCCCCAATCAAAATTCCCTCAATGCCTGGTGGCAGAGGCTGGTCTGCAGCAGTCAAATCCCTCCTCTTAGTTATGTTCCTTCAGAGAAACTCAGCAGGTTTACACTAGGCCCAGAAGGTCGGGTTAAGGTACGCAACTCCAGCTATGTGAAAGATGTAGCTGGAATTGGCCTACCTTAAGCTGAGCTTGGCGCGATCTTCACAGAGAGAGGTTGATAGGAGCCAACGCTCCCGTCGGCCTCCCTTACTCCTCGCAACTGCCAGAAGTACCGGTGTAATGTAGTGGGGATTGTATCCCCTCCTGTAGTCCCTGTATTCACTCTGGTTTTGTAGTCACTGTTTGCTTTGTTGTGTTGTATGTGATTCTACTGTCCTGTGCTATTCTGGAATAACTCTGTGTGTGTGCCATAGTTTCCCTGGGCACTGCAACACTATCTGCATGAGGAAGGGAGGGCTGGGCTTGACTCACTTGAGAACTTGGAACCGAATAAACCTTCTATTCTACTTGCTGAGATTCTGATCTAACTGCGGACGAGGGCACGGGGCCTGGTGACTCCCCACACTCTGTGACAACTGGTGCCAACCGGAGCCATCCTCAGCATTTGATTCAGTGGATCTTAATTAGATCCACTAAATTAAATGCTAGAAGTTCAATCTCTGGCACGGCAAGTTGAGATGTGGCCTAATAGAAGACAAACAAGGCACTGAGTGCTTTTCCATTCCCCAGTCATTCTGGATTTATTTTTGGACTGCTTGCTATATATTACACCATCACAATACAATCATTTCTGCTCTGGTATCTTTGGCTCGACATTCCCGGTCTCATGTAGCATGAAAGTTATGAGATTTTAGTCACTAATTGGGAAAATGGCTGTGGCATTGTATCATAAACACGTACATGCAATTAAATGACACCCCCCGCCCTCCTTCCCATGCATGTAATGGCAAAACAGGTCCTTCTCACAATGAAAATGAAGGAGCGGAACAGATGGTGAGAACTTGGTTTCAAGTGATGCATTTATTAAAGGAGCCCATGCTGCCAGCTTCGCTGCCACACAAGATTTGTGCTACACTGGAAGCTCCCACAGGATGCTGGGATCTGTGAGGGGGTTCGCTGGGTCAGAGCGATTTGCCCCTTTTGCATTTAGAAGCGGGCTGCAGCAAGGATTAGGAATTCAGAGCTGCCCATAAAACGCTGCAAAGGCTGGGTTCTCCTGGGGCGTGCTTTACTGGCAGCTGTAGGGACCAAAGCCTTCTGTTTACGGCATAGATACCATGCTACTCTATCAACCAGCTTCGAGGAGCGAGAGAGGAAATTGGCCTCCCGGCCCCATTCGATCTTTGGCCTCCTTTCTGAGATGGCCAGCCAGGAAGTCAACTATACTACATGGGGAGATGTGGGGCCACGTATGTATCCTGCGAGGCGGGGGTGGGGGGTAGCCCCACCAGGACGGGGGCCTGCTCACCTCTTCGCTGTACTTGCTGACATATGAGTAGATCTCATTGAGCGCGCTCAGCATGTTGAACTCAATGGCATGCAGGCGGGACTGCTCTGCGAGGTAGGCGTTCATGTCCTGGTCGCTGATGGCGGGGAGCTTTGCAATGTCTGCGTAATACCTAGGGAATGAAAGGGGAGAGCCTATTAGCAAGGCCCCACGTACACGCCGATGCCTCCTGAATGTAATTTTTTTTAGCAGGCTGGCCAGCAGCCCGGCTCAGTCCTGGCTCACACTGGGTCTGGGACCCACCAACTGCCACTCTGCGTTTAAAGTATATTAGGAGCCAGGTGGACAAGCAGTTGGGCCAGGAGCTGAGCCCCGCTCCTCTCTCCCTCCACTGAGCAGAGGCTGCTGCCACCCAGCACGGCAGGGCCTCATATCAGCTAGGCTGAAGGGGGAGCTAGTTTTTAAACTGGCTCCCCTCACGGACCAGCTCCCACCTGGCACTCCATGCTGCTGCCTCTGATACAGAGGCAGCAGCACGGAGTGGTAGGGGGCTCCTCAGGTGTGGGGCCAGAGTACACAGTCTGCCGCCCCCGCCCCCGGGGACTATAGACTAGTTGAATAACCAATAAGAAATTCATGAGGTTACTCAACAACTCAATTAACTGTTATTTAACACCCCTAATGTAAACTGCCCCGGGTGCAGTCTCACCTCGCATTCATTGCTAAAGCAGGGATCTGCAGTTTTATCTGGCCTCTGTGCACTCTTTGCAAAGAGCCAGCACTGACCCCAATGCCTTCTCCTCCCTATTGTTCCTAACCAAGCAGGAGCCAAGGCTAGTGTGGTCCTAGAATCACAGAACACTAGAACTGGAAGGGATCTCGAGAGGTCATCGAGTCCAGTCCCCTGCCCTCATGGCAGGACCCAGCACTGTCTAGACCATCCCTGATAGACATTTATCTAACCTACTCTTAAATATCTCCAGAGATGGAAATTCCACAAACTCCCTAGGCAACTTATTCCAGTGTTTCACCACCCTGACAGGAAGTTTTACCTAATGTCCAACCTAAACCTCCCTTGCTTCAGTTTAAGCCCATTGCTTCTTGTTCTATCCCCAGAGGCCAAGGAGAAAATTTTTTCTCCCTCCTCCTTGTGACACCCTTTTAGATACCTGAAAACCGCTCTCATGTTCCCTCTCAGACTTCTCCTTTCCAAACTAAACAAGTCCTGTGTATATCTATCATTTTAACCCTGCACTAAATGCAGCCACTTTTGGAGTACTGGGAACAGAGAAACTTTTGATGGCTGATGAGGTGGTGCAATGACACAGCTTCTCCTGACTTGGCTCCCACACCGACCTACCTCTCTACCCAGCTCTTGTAGCTAGGGATATCCTTGGCATAGAGCAATTTGTTGGAGGGGGAGTCCTTGCCCAGGCGGTGCTCTGAGGTGGAACAGGAGTCCATGAAGGTCTGGGCCACCACAGAGAGGCAGGCATCTGTGATACTGCCCTTATGGATGTCGAACACGAACTGGAGCGGGAGGCGGAAGGAAAACAAGGAAAAAAATTAAGTTATGACCCCTAGCGACAGGAAGGTCCCTTTTGTAGCCATATATTTCAGCTCCCCAAATGATGTGGTCAGTGCTGTGCCCCTTATAAGCCCCAAGAGCCCACGACGGTACCACAAGCGTAGCAACGATACCCTATGCAGAACTGAGCCGATCTCATTACCAAATATGGGCCAGACGCTTGGCCATTTTTCTCCACTGATTTTCCAGCCACTTCTTGGCCCTTCCCCTGCCCACTCTGGAGGGGCTGCCATTTGAGTGCATCATGTGGCAGCTAGAAAGGCCATGGATGCGGAAGCCAGAGGTGAAAGTAAGCGGGTGCGCCCTGGGGCACGGCTGAGCTGGGGCACAAGCCGGCAGGGAGCTATTGAAAGAGCTGGCAGGGACCCCGGTTGCAATAGGACAGGACCTGTAAGAAATGTTAAGTTACTTTCAACGCTGGCTGAAGCCAAGCGGACTGCAAGTGGAGAGGAAGAGCCCCATTTCAGGAGAGCCCCCAATGTTTGCCCGTGTTGGGTGCTGGGGCTCATTAGGTAATCCAGGGGGCTTGGGAGGTCTTAGGGAGGTCAGTTCAGCCTGTTAGTGTCGTATCTCATTGTTCTTTACAGCAGCAGCAACACTGAGCTGGTGAGGAAGGGTGGGGTGCGACCACTGCAGAGAGCAGACTCAAGGGCCTATTCCCAGCCCGTCACCTGGGAAAGAGCACATCAGGTATCTCTGCCCTCTCCTCCCCGCCCCCGCCCATCCTGGGCCTTAGTAATCAAAGGAGAAATATTCTTCCCTTTTCCTTTGGCTCTATAGCAGGATCAAAAACCAGCTGCTGCTTTCTGTTAGCTTTCAAGTCCCAGCTCTCCCTTCCTTGCCAGCCAGCTACAAGGAAGCCTTCAGCCTTAACCCTTGCAGTACTGCAGACAAGTTGCTCAGTTCCATCCCAAGGCAGGGTCTGGTGCCAGTTGCCTGAACCCTCTGCTCCCTCCTAATCACGGCTCCCTGCCTGAGGGCCCTGAACTGCCTTCCAGGCTGGCCAACTCTCCGGCCACTTTCCAGCAGTGTGCTGGGTGCTTGTGTGGCCACTCAGGAGAGATTCCACTGCTGCCCAGCTGATGAGCAGAGCACCGACAGCCAGTTTTTTTTGTTTCTACTGGTGGTGCACATTCCCACATGCTTTGGTGCACATTAAAAACATTTATTCTGCACATAAATGGAAAAGATTAAAGGAAACACTGCTTCCAAGAGCCTCCTCCCTAGCCCAAGCTGTCACGCTGGCTCTACCCTACATCTCACCCTGCACACCTCCCCAGCTCTCTTGCCCCTTCCAACAGGTGGCCAAGTCTCAATTTTCTGTTGGGCTTCCTCAAGAGATCTGATGCAGTCCAGGATTTAACCCTTTCCTGTCTTAAAGGAGCCTTGCCTAGTCCTTTTCTAGTTAATGGAGCATAGTGCTAGGACTTCTATTCCCAGTCCTAACACTGACCCAGTTAATACCTGGGACAAATGACTTCCTGGCTCAGTGCCTCTATTACTCTCTCTGACAAAGCTCGGCTCTCCCCCAGGGGCATAGCGAGCATTCGCTAACATTTGGAGAGCACTATAGAAATGTAAAGACACAGTGAAGGCTCAACGTAATGATGAGTTTGAAAACTAGAATTTACACCTCTGTCCTCCTGACTCGTCCTTTGTTCCTGCATGCAAAGCCATGCAATGGCTGGGAACCCATCAGCCGCCAGAACCCATGGGGTTTGATGGCTGTGGTAGAAAAACCTTTGTTGTTCGACACCATTTCCCTTTTTAGCTTTAAGAAGTGTCATTTTATTCGGGATTCAAACATTTTACCCTAATAGCTCCTTCTTCTAAAGCTTTCGATAAATTGTTTTTACCTTCCCATAGCCTTAGCAGGGAATCCGGCTTCTGCAGACATGATGATTAAAGGCTTTTTAAACCGCGAGAGATTGGTGGTGGTGGGGAAAATATAAAAAATCTTCAGGGGGCTACCAATTGTTATGGTTTCTCCCTCCCCCAGAGGTTTCTCACCCATGGAGCTTTTAATCCTAAAATAACAGCAAAGGCAAAGATGTAATAGCTCCGATTGTTTTGAGAACATCGAGCCCAAGCTGTAGTTGTGTGTCAATTGCACATAGTTTAAGTGTGAGCTCCACTCATCCGCCCTTGCTCTCTGGAGCACGGCTCCAGAAGCATTTGGGGAGGAACAGCTGCTCACTGATTTTTCACCTATGAGCATTGGCAGGCATTCCCTTTGGATAATATCATACACATGAGGTATGGCCATTAAATGCCTGCCTGCATACAGCCTGGGCATTTCCAAAAACTCATTTCATTACACGAGGGAGGGGATGTCTCCAGACTATGATGCAAGACACTTTTGTTTAATTCCCAGGTTTGCCCAGTTTCTTTGTCTGTCTTTGCTATATAGACGGTAAGCGATTTGGGGCAGAAACTCCATTTTGTTATGTGGACAGCGTCCTCTGGGAACTACTAGAGTACAAATGCAACTCATTAAGGATTCCTGCCCCTGGAATGAAAGGAGGGGTCTGGAATGTACAGGGCTTCACCAGGCTCTAAGCCAGTGGTCCCCAACCTTCCGTGGCTGCCGGGCGCCCAGGGACGGGGCCACTCACGTGCCGGGCATCCGGGGGCAGGGCCGCTCACGCGCCATGCTTCCGGGGGGGCCGCCCACGTGCCCTGAGCCCAGGACCAGCATCGCGCATGTGCCGCGCACCCGTGGTAGGGGTCGCCCATGCGCCTGGGGCCAGCACCATGCGTGCGCCGGGGGCGGGGCCAACCTAGGTGTTTCGGTGGGCACACATAAATGCCCTGGTGGGTGCCATGGCGCCCGTGGGCACCGCGTTGGGGACCACTGCTCTAGGCAATGTGCATGTATGAGGGGGAGGGGCCTCATGGAGCCTCATGCAGAAGGGGTGGGGCTATGGGCAGCCAGCCCTCAGGGTGTGTCTAGATTACAGAGTTTAAAAAAAAAAAACTGCCCGAGTGCTCCCTTTTGAAAAAGCAGCTTGCAAGAAGTGGTTGCAGTCTAGACGCTCTCTTTCGAAAGAGGCTTGTAGTCTAGACATACCCCAAGTGCGGCCCATACCGTGCTGCACCTCTCCCAACCAACCCTCAGCTCCGCATAGATCATGCTACAACTGGCTCCTGCAGCAATTTAAAAGGCCTGGAGCCCTGGCCCCTTTTAAATTGCTGGGCACAGGGGCAACTGCCCCCTCCCTCCCTGGCGGTGTCCCTGCTCAAAACCACATTTGTCTGAGTGGTGACAAAAGTTTGCAGGAGAGGCATTCGGTTTTCCTGTAACAACTCCCAACACGTTACAAGCAGTTTGCAGTTTCGTGGCTGCTTCATACTTGGAAAAATAACTGGATTTTAACAGATTAAGGCCAAGTCTACCCTGGTGCTTCACTGCACTGTAACTTTCCGGCTCAGGGGGTGTGAACCCCTCCTATCTGCCCCTCCCACATTGGAGTGCAGCAAATTGCAACACTGCTACCGTGCCAGGGGGAATGCTCCCAGTGCTGTTAGCTGCTCCCCACAAGGAGAGTACTGGGAGAACTTTCCCCTAGCACTTGTGCTGCGGCCACGCTTTCAGTTTACAGTGCCGGCCCAGAATTGCTACGTGTGGATAAATCCTAAGTCGTAAATTGTAACAGATTACGGTATAAATGAAAAAGCCAGGGACACGTTGCTAAATTCTCAGTGCTATTTTAGCTCTTTGTGGCTGGATCAATAACCTGTAGTAGGAGCTGTTGTACAGGTCAGAATTGGGAGGCACTGGCAGACTCTCTGGTTGATGGGGGTTCCTGATTTGAGTCATAGCGGGTCAGAATTGAGGTACATTTTCACAGCAGCCAGGAGGCCCCGTCACTGGGACACCACGGGTATGGGAGCTTTGGACTGAAGACTAGTAGCAAAACATTTTACCTAGGGTGCCTCCTTCCCTTATACCCATTCGGCAGCCTGAATGGGACAATTGCCCCCAAGAACCAAAGTTCCCTGAAAACGAAAAGAACAAGCTCTGGGACTCCTAGGCACAAGGAAAGGGGCAGGATTTTGCACACGTGTCTGTATGTTGGCATCTTCCTTCACAGTGACAGAGGGGAGCCAGGACAGCTGCATGTTTGTGCTGTGAAGCACTCCGAGCTGCCTCCAATGACACAGACTCTGTCCCTCCTCCCCCCACTCACTGCCCCATCCCTGGGTTTCGAGATGCGCCGATGAAATCCCATTTGCCTTCTGCTGCCCCCACCCCCATTCTCCCCCCATGCTTACCAATTGCTCTTCCAGGTGTGCCTCACATCTGTGTCGTGGATGCTGTGCTTATCGGCTTGCTCATCCAGGAAATCGAACATGTATTTGATGGCCAGTGGGAGTGCGCTGCCTCGGTGCACCGTACTGAACAAGGTCTCGAACAAGTCATCCACGAATTTCTGCAGCGTACCCTAATGGGAGCAGCAACCAGCGCAGTGATGGGAGGGATGTATGCACACTCGGCTAAACAGCAACAGCAGGAGGGGGACACCAGATGGTGACACAGGCTATGCACAGCTCCAGAAAGGGCCAGGCACAGACCCCATAGGAATAGGTAAGGTGTATGTAACCTTATAGGAATGGGCTGGCTGAGCTGCTGAGGCGCATAGGTTTTATTTTTAATGTGACGCACACAATTTCTTTTGCAATCGGTGCCACAGCCATTGCTGAGGATGCTACAATAGGACGTCCGATTCCCTTGGCTGAGGAGACGGGTAAAGCATTTACAGGCATTTTAACTTTCTTGTAATTGGTGACAGGACAAAGAGTTGTTTAGGAGTGATTAGGGCTCTATGACTGGCTCTGCTATTGAATTGGTATATGACCCCAGGACTATCTATCCTCTCTGCATCCCAGCTTCCCCTGTGTAAAATGGGCATCATCATGCCCAATTGACAGACAGGTCACAAAGCTTCATTAATGGACAATCAAAGCATGAGACAGGGACTGTGTCTTTACAGGCCAGTTTCTACATTTCCCAGGCAGGCTCCAGTGCATGGTAATTACCTTCGTAGCTAGGAGCCTAGTCAGATAGATCTCTGACACCATCTTACTGCCCCGGTCGCCCTCCTTCTGGTCTCCGTGGTCATGGTTTTTGACCAGGTGCCAGACTTTCACTCCACTCTCCAGGTCAGGAGTGATCATGGGTGCCCTGGAGCGGAGACTGTCAGGGCTGCCTGTGTACCGGAACGTTGAATCTGAATGGAAAGGAAGAGAAGCCGGTGATATCCACAGGGAGCAGCTTCTGTCACTACTCCTCAGTAGTCCCCACACTCCCACTTCCACTGGATTATTCCCTGAATGAGCCTGCTCCTCTGTGGAATGATACGAGGTGCTTCAATTCCCAAGGAAATGTATTATCCTGACTCTACCCTCCCACTGTCCATTCAGCCTGCGGCAGAACGCTCTGGGGACGCTACCAAACTAGCGCACTGTCCATCTTTTCACATGTCCTCTCATTCTTTTGAAAATGACAGGGTTGCCTCACATCTGTGTCGTGGATGCTGTGCTTATCGGCTTGCTCATCCAGGAAATCGAACATGTATTTGATGGCCAGTGGGAGTGCGCTGCCTCGGTGCACCGTACTGAACAAGGTCTCGAACAAGTCATCCACGAATTTCTGCAGCGTACCCTAATGGGAGCAGCAACCAGCGCAGTGATGGGAGGGATGTATGCACACTCGGCTAAACAGCAACAGCAGGAGGGGGACACCAGATGGTGACACAGGCTATGCACAGCTCCAGAAAGGGCCAGGCACAGACCCCATAGGAATAGGTAAGGTGTATGTAACCTTATAGGAATGGGCTGGCTGAGCTGCTGAGGCGCATAGGTTTTATTTTTAATGTGACGCACACAATTTCTTTTGCAATCGGTGCCACAGCCATTGCTGAGGATGCTACAATAGGACGTCCGATTCCCTTGGCTGAGGAGACGGGTAAAGCATTTACAGGCATTTTAACTTTCTTGTAATTGGTGACAGGACAAAGAGTTGTTTAGGAGTGATTAGGGCTCTATGACTGGCTCTGCTATTGAATTGGTATATGACCCCAGGACTATCTATCCTCTCTGCATCCCAGCTTCCCCTGTGTAAAATGGGCATCATCATGCCCAATTGACAGACAGGTCACAAAGCTTCATTAATGGACAATCAAAGCATGAGACAGGGACTGTGTCTTTACAGGCCAGTTTCTACATTTCCCAGGCAGGCTCCAGTGCATGGTAATTACCTTCGTAGCTAGGAGCCTAGTCAGATAGATCTCTGACACCATCTTACTGCCCCGGTCGCCCTCCTTCTGGTCTCCGTGGTCATGGTTTTTGACCAGGTGCCAGACTTTCACTCCACTCTCCAGGTCAGGAGTGATCATGGGTGCCCTGGAGCGGAGACTGTCAGGGCTGCCTGTGTACCGGAACGTTGAATCTGAATGGAAAGGAAGAGAAGCCGGTGATATCCACAGGGAGCAGCTTCTGTCACTACTCCTCAGTAGTCCCCACACTCCCACTTCCACTGGATTATTCCCTGAATGAGCCTGCTCCTCTGTGGAATGATACGAGGTGCTTCAATTCCCAAGGAAATGTATTATCCTGACTCTACCCTCCCACTGTCCATTCAGCCTGCGGCAGAACGCTCTGGGGACGCTACCAAACTAGCGCACTGTCCATCTTTTCACATGTCCTCTCATTCTTTTGAAAATGAACGTGGCCAACTCGACCCCCCAAGTCTCCACTTGCTTTTCTCAGCAACAGTAACAGTTAAGGGGATCAGTGCAGGGAAATGGAACAACTTATTACGAAAGTTGCAAAAGTTTCCTCCCTGATTAATACTGAGTGAAATATGAATATTCCAGCCAATTTAATTAAGGCACAGGGGATTAAAAGGAGGGAAAGGCTGAGAAGAACCTAGTAATTCTATTTTTAAACATGGCTCTGTTACTGATGCAGAATATGGAAGGTAAATCTGCATCCTCATTTGCATTTTGTCAGCGCAATTAGAATTATTAATATTAACGTTTGCCAAGAGTGTGCATCCTCGCAGTTCACAAATGCTCCTGCCCCTTATGCTGAAGAACAAGCTTTGGCATTGCAGCCCCAACCTGGGTCTCCTCTTCACATCACCCTATGAACAAAAGGCACTAAGAACTCATACATGGGCTAGACCTTGAAGGTGGCAAACAACCCTTGCTATGGTGCCACAGCACTGTTCTGCCAGCTGGTGGGTTTCACACCATTCAGATGACTCTTGGTATTTGGAATGCAGATTTTGAGAGCCACAAAACTGGGAAAGCAGGTGGATCTGTCAAGGGAGCTATTTTTGGCTACACAGTCCGTAGAATGAAAAAGCCGAAAAAACCTTTGTACCAGGGACTTCTCCACCATCCTTTTTGAAGGTGTATTATTATAGTTGTGTAGACAACACTATAAACATGCACCTGGCATCTAACAGACTCAATTACTCAGACTGTAAACTCTTTAGAGCATTGTCTGTAAAATGCCTACCAATACTGCTGTACAAGTAATAAAATTTCCGCTTCCCAGGTGTGTAAAGTCTTGCATACTGAGTTAACAACACTCTCACTTGTTGATTAGAACTAGGCAAAATGAGGAGCTGAGACCAAAAGGCTTGATCCACTAATGATTCCAGGCTACAGTCTAAATATGAATCTAGCAGTGGAAAAGTCAGCCCAGTGAGCCCTGAAATCGCCAATACTTAGCCCTGCTTCTTACCATATCGACTAATGGAGGTTCGAGAGATGCTGGCGGAGGCAGGGATGTTATAAGAGGAAGTCTGTTTAGGAACGAGAGCCACCACGGAGCGGTCTGACACCTGGTAAGGCAAAGGGAGAGAAGAAAGAGAACGAATGAGATTCTGTTGATGCCACCTTTGGAATACAGAATACTGCCAGCTAATCAGCAAACACTGACGGCTGTAAGTTTTAGAACCCAAATTTTGCAGAGAGCTAGAAAAATGACATATTGTTCATGATGGCAAGGTGGGAGGCGGGGAGGGGGGAGGTGGGAAACCAACAATTCCACTAGCCTGCTCAGTTTTCTTAATACAAGAGAGATACCTCTCTTTATCTTGTTGAGTCCTCTGCTGGATTCAAACCCCTGAAGGATAGGGCTGATAAATGAAGACATATTGAAGACTTTTTTCATCGTTTTGATTTAAGATTACATTTTTCCCAATAAAAATGGAGAATCTCAAGAATTGTTGCAATCTAATTAAAGTAGTAATGCAGAGGGAATAAAACAGCTATAATAATGTTATGGACCATAAAACACTCTTATTAAACCATTTTTTATTTTAACCATTTTTATGAACTTTAAAAGTTTGATTTACCGCTAAACTAGTCATAAAACCATCTTTCAGGGTCTTAAATTGTCTGTCCCTCTATCACACCAAAAAAGGATTAAATGTTGGGAAGTCAAACTATAAATGAACATTAGCACTAACGAGATTCTGTTATAGCAGGTTTTAGTGGCAGTGTTTAATTTTACCCACCCTATAAATCTAACAGTCACTGGAAGTTTTTAAACTTATCTTCATTCATTAAGGCTCTACAGATTTCAGTGGAATAGACCTTAACATTTTTAAATTCTGAAGTAAGAACTTTATGATTCAGCATAGCAGGGGAGTTTGGTATTCCTTCTAGGGTTCAGGCAGCGATTTACTTGAAGAGAGTGGTGGGTTATACAAAGAAAATAACCCTTGTTATCCCAAGTTATCTGCCCTCCAATTTGCCAGCCAGGGTGCATTATTCCATAAATCTGCACACTGGTTTGAGTAGGTGCTGCCCTGGAGAATTTATTAAGGACTTCTTCTCTTCTTCCTCAGTGACACCCACCCATCTATCGTCTCGCTATCAGTCACTCTGAAAGTTCTCCCCCCATGCTGGCTTTGCTCTGTCTGTCTGATTTTCTCTCACTCATAGTCATGGATGGATACAACGAGTTCCTTATTCTGCCTCCTAAATTCTCTCTTTTTTGCACTGCTCTTCACGCCACCTTCCTCCCAGTGAACCTCACCACCCTACATGCTCGTCTTTAATTCCCCCCTCCTTGCATAGGTACCTCCAGCCTGTCTCACATCTTGCTTCTTTCCACACAACAATTCTGAAAATCTGACTCTTCCATTCTGTCCCTGTGGCCAACACACATTTGGACACTGATCAGCCCTTGTCCCTTCTTACAGTCTCCATAAGACCCTTCTCTCTTCTGTCCAATCTGTCCAAAATGCAGTGGCTAAAATGACTATCAATCAATCAAGCTCTTGTCCTTTCCTCCTTTGAAACCCACCAAATGGCTGACCAATATAACATGTCTGAACTTCATATCCTCATCTGTAAGATTCTGTACAGCTCTTTTCCAGTCTCCTCTTGGATGGCATCTCTCACCATCTCCCACCTTCTTTTTTCGGCCAACGCCAACAGCTTTTAAACCTATGCTGACTGTCATATTAGAGAAGACACAAGCAGCATGTCTGAGACAACACCGTAGATTGTAAGCTCTTTGGGGCAGGACTGTCTTTGCATTCTGAGTTGTAAGTGGCCAGAAGAGTGGAGCCATGATCCATGACTGGAGTTCTGTACCTGTACTACAAATGATGACTCGGGTGCAAGGGGAATAATCCCCCCGATGAGGCAGAAACCCAAGATTCTGGCCCACATGCAGTCTCCACAGAACCCTGAGCATCCTCCCTGAATATCTGTGTGGTCACAGTAGTGTGGAGGTCAAACTCTCCCGGGATGATTATGTTCTGCCTCTCTAAATTCTCCCGGCAGTTTCAAACTGAATGTAGTTTGAATATCTAGTGCAAGTGTTCAAAATAGCTGGCACATTTCACTTTAGCTGCAGGAAAATGATCTCTACTGCATAATGGCCTGTAAAGTGCTTTGGGATCCTTTAGGGTGAAAGATGCTATATAAATATAAGTTGTTATTATTATTATTATTATTATTATTAATACTATAACTTCATGCATCACACAGCAAAAATGATGCCACTTTGGTTTAATTTCACTAAGATGCAATCTAAGCATTCCAGGGCATGGAATACAAAGGAAGTTCTGAATTTTCACACAAAGAAACAATAATTTCCAGCCTGCTGTAGTTGGCTACGGTTTCATCAGAGCTGCAGTCAACTAGCAGAGCAGTCTTGCTCACTAAAGTCTGGCAGAATGACTCTTGTAAGCTAAAAAGCATCACTGTACAAATTAGCATCAGATGTAACACATATTCCTTTCATATTCTGCCCCTCTGCCATCACACGCCTAAAAATCTTGGAGATGAACGAGATATTGGCTGACTTTTTTTAACATAGTTTGGTTTTCCCACTGGCTTGAAACATGCCTCATGAAACCCCTTCAAAAATAAAGATAAAAAACAGAGTGTGGAGAACAACAGACAAGAAGTCCAGCTCAGACCTTCTTTATTGACATGATCTAGCAGAGATACCAGATCTGCTAATAAGCTTCAGCTTTGGACATGCAGCAGCTAAACCCCTATAAGGTGTCTGAGTCTAATTTTCCATATGAATTTTCCCTTGCTGCTGTTAATTTTTCATTTTAAATAGTCTTCTAATCTCTCAACCCTTCCAGCCTCCAGTGAGCGATGTCTCTTCATGGTTTGCTGCCTTCAAATTAACCCTACGCAAGCCATTGTAAATCATTTGACGTTACATTCTGGGTGGTTTATTTTTCCTGGGTAAGTTCCATGTGAGCCTACCCTACACAATTTAACAGCGATACGGTTCTACAGAAATGTAATATGATTCTACAGACATTCTTTGAAAAGCCCTATAGAATTTAACAGAGAATGAGACCCTTTGTACAGGCATTTTAAAGACAGCCTATAGAATTCAGCAAGCAGGATATAGTTCTATTCAATTCTATAAAATAGTTCCAAAATAATCTATAGAATACAGATAATTTCCTATTAAATCCTATTTGGCTTTTTCCATAAGGGCATACATGTGAAAATCATATTAATAGCTGGGTAGAAAGTGTATCCGCTGACAGTGGAGGAGGTTGGACTGTATGATCATAAAACCCCAGAAAACAAAGATCCTGCCTTGATGAGCTGATGAAGAAATGTGGGACTAAAGAGAAAGATTTGGAATTAAATAATCAAATCATCAAATGATTGCTGATACTGTCCTGAAGCTGTACTGCCTTTGATCAAGCTAATCAGATGGATTAGTCCTCCAATGGGAGATCGCCACTGAATACTTAGGCGCTGCAGGAATTGTGTCAGTTGTGATGGCAATTCATTGATTTAGTTGGGGTTGGTCCTGCTTTGAGCTGGGCTTGGACAAGATGACTTCCTGAGACCTCTTCCAACCCTAGTCTTCTATGATACTTCTGATTCCCTGTCCCAGTGTGGAGGTAAGAGGCTTGTCTTTCAGATAACACCTCCAGTATCTCCCAGTGGATAGACAAAGCACCGGACTCAGTAGATTAGGGTCCTCCCCACAGCTTTGCTTCACTTTCCCCATCTGTGAAATGGGGATGAACTAGAATACAAGAACTGGAGGGAACCTCCAGAGGTCATCAAGTCCAGTCTATGTGCTTTGCTGTCTATACAAAGACCTTCTTTGTGAAGTGCTTTGAGATCTACTGATGCAAGGTGCTATGTAAGCAGCGGCGGATATAGGGCAGGGTGAGCAGGGCGGATGTTCCGGGCTCCATGCTTCAATAGGCCCCGTGCATACGCTACTACCTGTCGGCTGTGGCTGTGGTGCATGCGAGAAATTGTGCTGCCCTGGGCCCCGCGCTTCAATAGACCCCGTGCCCTGGGCCCTGCAAAACTCTCATCCGCCCTTGTATGTAAGAGCTAGGTATTACTATTTATAGCATGATTCTGACCACTTGTGATTCTGGGAAAATGCTATGGCACTTTGGTCAGAATTGCAATGTTAACGCTGCTATCCTATCCAATTTACAAGGCCACATGACGAATCAGTGGCAGAAGCAAGATGTTCAGTCTAGTAGCCAGTGCTGCCTCTTAAAAAGATCATAAGAATGTAAGAACGGCCAGACTAGGTCAGACCAAAGGTCCATCCAGCCCAGTATCCTGTCTGCCAACAGTGGCCAATACCAGATGCCCCGGAGGGAGGGAACACAACATGTAATCTTCACATGATCCCTCCCCTGTCTCCCACTTCCAGACAAACAGAGGCTAGGGACACCATTCCTACCCATCCTGGCTAATAGCCATTGATGGACCTAACCTCCATGAATCTATCTAGCTCTTTTTTGAACCCTGTTAAAGTCCCAGTCTTCACTACATCCTCTGGCAAGGAGTTCCACAGGTTGACTGTACGTTGAGTGAACAAAAACTTCCTTGTGTTTGTTTTTAAGCCTGCTGCCTATTAAGGAGCATTGCATGGTCCTTATTTGCAGTACAATATGCACAGAAGAAATAGCAAATACTACTGCAGCTCTGAATTGCACAACTCCCCACACAGCACACCACATCTTCAGATCTCAGGGTGCATGCACCACACGAAGAAAGACCACGCTAGACATTTCAGAACCGTGCAAATGTCTGATAGGAAAGTCAGGATGGAGGTAGCTCTTCTTTTGCCCAGAAATAGACCAGAACCACCTTTTGGGGAAGTACAGATCTGATCTTTGTGGTGTGGGCCCATTATTTTTATTTTGTTTAACCAAGCTGGTTCTTGCCTACTGATCACAAGTTGTCTTGCTCCTCTCCTCACCTTTTTCATCACTTCCTTTTCAGTCTCGCACTGGGGGTGCACATCTATACTGAAGCTGGCGGGAGGGGGGGTATTGTCTTGCTCATGTAGATACTAGTAACCAGTTCTGCCTCTTAAAAAGCGCATAGCAGAGCTTTGATTGAGCTAGAGTGCTAAAAATAGCAGTACAGGTGCAACCCGTGTAGGAGGCAGTATGGGCGAAGCTGCCCTGAGTGCAGTCCCATCTGAGACCCTCGGCACGCGCTTTGGCATCTAGCCCATCCAGCTGCTACGGTGCTATTTTTAGCACACTACCTCAATCAAAGAAAGCCCACATACATGAGGTCGCATGGCTCAAGCCGATGCTAAATTGCAGCTGCCATCTTAGAAGCCTGCTGTGGTGATAGTTTCTGTGACGCGGGTACCAATCTGCTAGAAACTGAGCCAAGATCCCTGAAACTCATTTCACAGAGAGGCCCCTAGATGGCCATGCAATAAGTGACCTTTAACTGAGAAACCAAATAAAAGGGGAAAGGCCCCTGTTCAGGACAGCGGACGAGTTAGTATCTCATGGGAAGGTCCACTTCTCTTGAGAAGACATCCTGCTCAGAAGGAGAAGTGTTCTACTACACCAACCTCTGCTCTTCCAGGGAATAATAAGGAGAGGGAAGCGGAGGCTACAGGAAGGCTAGGGACAGAGTATGAAAGAAACCACACTGGCGTACAGTACAGAGCACTGGGCTTGAAGAGCAAAGCCTCTATTAAGTGGAAATCAGTTCCATGGGAGGTTGGATGCAGTCACACTCCAACACATGCCTTTGTAAGGAAGAACATTCCAGCATGCAGTAGACTAGTGGTTCCCAACCTTTTTTATACAGGGGACTGGCAAACCCATTCACAAACTTTTGGTGGACCGATAACATTTTATTTGCATCTCCATTATGCAAATAATGAATATGCAAATATAATGTTGCCAGTCCACCAAAAGTCCTGGTCCCAGAAAATCCCCCCTCAGTGCCAGCCCTAGCCCCAATAGCCCCCCACCCCTCCACTACCCCCCAGTGCCAGCCACTGATCCCAGAGCCCCCTGCCCCCAACCCTCCTGCCCTCAGAGCCTCCTAGTGCTAGCCCCCACCCCTTGAAGCCTGCCCACCCACCAGACTCCTCCCAGTGCCAGCCTCTTGTTTCCAGAGCCCCACTGCACCCCTCCCCCCGATCCCAATATTAGCCCTCTCCTCAGAGTCCCCCAGTGCCAGTCCTGCCCCCATAACCCCCCCGACTACTAGCCCTGCCCCCAGAGCCCCCCAGTGCCAGTTTCCCGCCTTGGACACCACGGTGCCAGTCCCCCGCCTCTTAGAGCCCCCCATCCCAGAGCCCCCAGCACTCGCCCCACCCTATGAGCCCCCCGGGCCTGCACTGCCCCCCTCACCCAGAGCCTGTGCTGCCCCCCAGCTGCCAGCTGAGTGCTGCTGCCTGGGTCGCGGCTGCTCTAAGGCTGCTGTGCTGGGCTCGGCCCAGCCCTCCTGCCGCTCAGCAAAGGGCTCTTCGGTAGCCGGGAAGAGACCCCGCCCCGCCTGGCACTGGTTGGCTCAAAGACGGGGTAGGACACGACTCTCCCAACAGCCAGGGTGGGAGCTGTGACCTCCAGCCCTGACCCTCAGAGCTTCCGTGGCCCGGCAGCCAGAGGTCCGCGGCCCAGTGGCTGGGAACCACTGCAGTAGATAGATGGACTGGCTGAGTGCATATCTTTATCTCTCTCTGACCTACATAGTGAACAGAGGCTACCAACATCCCTGCCCACCCTGGCTAATAGCCATTGATGGACCTTTCCTCCCTGAATTTATCCAGCTCTTTTTTGGACCCTGTTATTAATGTAACAGAAGAAAGAGATGGAAAGAAACTTGTAGATCATCTGGACCACCATGCTCCCTGTAGGACGCAGCATCTCCAGCACTCTGACCTGTCTAGTTTCAAATGACTCTGGTGATGGGGATCCTCATGGAGACTCATTCCAGCACTTAACAAATGTCACCTCTACTCGACTAAGAAATGTTTCCCTGATATTCAGGTTTACGTTTACTTTGCTCAGAGCTATACTTCCGTGACTGACTGCACACTCCTCTGCAACTGCCTTTAATGCTGAAGCCATGCAATCGCTGCACATGACTTAGGCCACGTATTCATTTGCCATGCTGGAGATTGATCTGCTGGCATTCGATTTAGCGGGTCTAGTTAAGACCCGCTAAATAGAACGCTGAGTGCGGTTCCGGTTGGCACCAGTACTCTTCACAGTCATGAGGAATAAGGGAAGCCAAAGGGAGCATTTGTTCCCATCAGCCTCACTTAATGAAGACTGTGCCACGCTTGGCTTAAGTTAAGCTGACTCCAGCTACATATTTTACATGACTAGAATTGTGTACCTTAACCCGACCTTCTGGGTCTAGTATGGACCTGGCTTTAGAGTTATGGTGATGTCCCCTTCTTCCTAAAAACTAGGTGTCTTTGTTACCCCCTGAAAAAGAACTGAGAATCAACATGTAGGAAGATGGAGAATCAAGAAACCACTTATCCCTGCCTCATTGATCAGATTGCTAGTCTGTCCCCACAGTGCCGTATGGCCTATAGATGACGTGTCAAAGACAAGCCCCTCTCCCTTCCTATACTTCCTCCCCTTTGTCTCACGTAGGCTTCCGTTTCCAGGACTGGGTCTCTGACATGATAGACCTTTGCAGCCCCCACATCTTTAACAGTGGCAGCTCAGCCCTCGCGGCGTACCCAGTCTATCTAGCGAGAAGCTGGCATTTTTAATTTAGTCAATTTTCAACTCTGCTAGTTTCTGTTAGATCTGTGTCAGCGCTGCTTTCACAAGCACACTGAACCATTCTGGTTTATCATAAGAACATGACCTTCCTGTCTGTCTTGTTAGATGAGACGCTGAGGAATTAAATTTCTGGTTTTCTTTCCCTTCCGCTTGGCTGCTTTCTGGGAGCTCTGCGTCAGGGATGGTTTCTTACCTGATAATGCATCAGGGTGTTTAACCGCTTCCAGTCGCCTTCAATCTTGGTGGTGATGTCTTCATCCTGGAGGACCACACGAGCTATCCGGCCCTGGCGCCACTCTGTAGGGAAGGCAATTCATAATGGGCGGGGATGAAGAGACACCTGCTTCTGTCCACATCAGTCTCATGTGATGCAGCAGGAGAGATAAGTCTCTGAGAGGCCGGCTCCCAGGAAGGGGTGTTCAGAGAAAGGGCTGCGTTGTGCTCTCAACTGCATAAATATCTGGCCTTGGTAGTGGAGGTGTCTTGCTTAGGAGGCCTATGGGAACCTGATGTGTCAGTCATTTGCTCACTGGACAGTTGCTCCACTCAGACAATTTCCTGGGGGACATTAAGAGGCCCCACACAGAGTGCAATGGCCCAAACAGGTAAAGAGTTCGACCCAGTGTCATATCCTGCAGCAACAGCATCTCTACTGGGGGTGTGTGTATGTGGGATTGCTGTGTGCATGTGTGAGAGACCGGTGGTTAGGAAGCGTGCACACACCTAGCTATCCTGGCTCTAGCCAATGTGATCACCCTCTTGAACACTACAAATCTCTCTAAGAACTGGCTATCTCCCTAGCCCTCTGCCCCACGTCTCACAGGCCAGGGATGCTCCTACCTAAGTCCATGTCGACAGCTCTTGGCCTTTGAGAATAGGGGACGTTTTTGTACACCGCGTCCAGAATCTTCTCTTTGACCTGAGTGATGGTGTCGCAGTTCAGCACCTTCACGGGGATCTCGGGGCTGTTCTCGTTATCGGGGTTCACACAGTTCAGGATCTAGAGAAGGAGGAGACATCACAAACAACACTCCAAAGGGTTTCAGAGACACATCCAGCATAACAGCAATGATCACCGTGGGACAGGGACACGTAACACTGAATTCCTCCGCAAAGCCACTTACAACACGGCTGTTGTGTCTAGCATCCCCTTGGGAAGCTTATTAATCTAGGAGCTTCAGGGTTTGCTTTGAAGTTATGTTTTGGGGAGGGCCAGGACAGAGCCATTCCATCCATAGGAAAGTTTGGAGAGGCCACCAAGGCCCTGCACTTTGGGGGGCCCTGTGCCTGCTGCCTTAATCATACTATGGACGGGTGCCATGGGGGCCCAGGCGATTGCCAAGGGGTGGGGTGGGGGAGCTGGAATGGGGCAGCAGCAGGAGTTGGTCCCCCTCCCACACTCTCCATAGCTGTGGGAGCTGGAGTGACTCTGGCAGCTGCTCTGCCCCGCTGCTCTCTCCTAGCTTCACTGCGGCAACAGGAAGAAGAGCAGCCCAGCCCGGGGTGAGCAGTCTGTGATGCCACACGTAAGCCCTGATTTTCCAACCTTAGCAGCCTGAGCTGCTCACAAACAATTTGCATAAGCACGTTCAGCACATACTGAATTTGCACATTGCCCTGGTCCCCGGGGGGTTTGAAGATCAGGCCCATAACGCTATGGACGCCTACGTTCTACCGATTATTGCACACCTCACGTTTTGGAGGGTGGGGGACACGATATTGGAGTCTGAGCTGAGCTAGCAGAGAATTCGGGCCATAGAAGTGTGTGTGTCCTGCATGTGCTTTCAATGACGGATCAATTTGGACACAAAGCAGCTAGTTCTGGAAGGGGCATTAGGGCTGCATATTATCCTGCCCTTCCAGTGCGGCTTCTCCTAACTACCAGTCGGTTGCTTACAGCTGGAAATGATGTGCACCGTGCAAAGCCAGGTCCCGTGGACGGCCAACTCACCAATGTTTTGTACTCAATCTGCTGCCGGATCAGCTTGTCCTCACTGAGAGAATAGCGGGCCTCCCCCGTGATGGCGTCAATAGGCCCTTTCTCCATCTGCTGCTTGATGGCACAGTACAGCATGAAGAGGGGCTCCCCAGCGCACTCCTGTTCGACAAGACACACTGCAAAATCAGAATCGAGGGGCAGGGCCTCCTCCTGCCAGCTCTAATGGGTAGGCTAAACTTCAAGCAGAGGCATGGTCCTGCTGATTTTAATCTTAGCAACAAGCGTTAATCCAAACAAGTGTTTACAGGTCTGTGGCCCAAAGCAGCAGCCAGGGAGAAAGTCCATCCCCAGGACCCATTACTCAACGTGGGTATCATCTCTGGTTTGCCTCCCCACTGCTGGGGAGAAGGAATCAGAGGGTATTACAGCCACTCCACCGGGACAGCTACAATGCTACAACTATGCCACAGAGAGCCGTAGTGTAGACTTCTCCTACAGCGATGGAAGGGTTTTTCTGTCGACACAGTTAATCCACCTCTCCAAAATAGAAGAAATCATCTGTCAACCTAGCTGCCTCCACCCTGGGAGTTAAGTCAACCTACCTATGGTACTCAGGGTGGACAATTTTTCAGAGTCCTCAAAGTGGGGAGTGGAATTGTTTGGAGGGCTGCAGGGGGTGCAGCCAAGTGAAAGGGATTACACTGAGCAAAAGCAAAGTTACACTGAACAGTAGGATGGACACATTCCCCATCAGAATGATCCAACAGCCTTTGCACAGTGCCCCAGGGGAGTGGTGGAAACTCCACTCCCTGGTTTATTTTACACTATGCTGGGTGGTGCATAGACTAGATGCAGGCAGGTCTTTTCCCAACTCTAACTTACTTAAGTGAGGAGGCCTCCTACCTGTCATACACGTGTAGTACACTGGGGCTCACTGGCTGATGGTGATTATACTCTGTTCGTTCTGCTGAAAGCAGATAGGGAGACGTGCATCGGGCATGCTTCACTATGGACTTGGCATGCATGCAGCATTTCAAATGTGTGACTTGCAATCTCAGGGTTGATCAAAGCCAAGCACATAGATGGCTAGCTGAGACTCAAGTTAGCTGAACTGCAGCTCCAGCTGCACACAGCACAAGTCTTATCGCCAAGATCTCTGCTCTGCTCTTGTCTCCACCTTACTTTGGGTCTTGTCAGACATTTTAAAAAGCTGGGGTCACCGTGCAGGCCCTTAGAAGGAGGAGAGCTGTGGAAGCATTGGAAGAATGGGTGAAGGCAGAAGAGGATCTCCACTCAGTCTCCCCCTCACCTTTAAGAATTTGTGGAGGAGAAAGGCAAACCAGTTAGTCAACATCTTCTCAGCCACAGACTCAGTCCTGCAAAAAGACAAAAGGACACATGATTACGTCTATTTAAAAAGAACTCATGCCACTGACTGACCCCCCTCTATCAGTAATGAAAAAGGGCAGGGAAGTAAAAACCCACTATGGACAACAGTGAAACTGATGTGGACTCGTCTCGCCCTCTCAAAATGTCCCCAGTTGGGCCAGGTCTACTCTCACTACAGGGAAAGATCAAATGCTCCGTTAATGTGGATGCACTACCTTAGACTCATCTAGGAGATTATTTCAAATGTACTAAATTCACCATTTGGGCATCCGATTTTACAAATCTCAAGTTTCGTATCCTCACTGCAGGGAAGCATCGAATGTAGTCCGAGACCGGCTCCGTTAATGTGGATGCACTACCTTAGACTCATACTCTGGGGAGCCGTGGGAGGCCTCCCAGAGGCCTATTAGTTTGAATTAGCAGCACCAGAGCATCCCCACTAACGTTATTTCAGACTTACAAGTTCCTGAGGAATAACACAATCCCCGAAAAGCAAGAGTACAGAGTTTGAATTCCACGGCCCTTTGATTTCGGGCTAAGGTCCTACAGACTCGCAGCAACCGTTAGTAGGCTGGGCTGCACTTTCCTCACTGGCCTGGGACCATGCGGCCATCTTCTAATCACCAAGTGAACGCTGCCCATCTGGAGCACAATTTCACAACAGCATTAAGATTCAGCAGCGCGGGAGGATCTGAAACCGTTGTCCCTCGGCACTGCCCCCTCCAACGTTTCCCAGACAAGTGTATGTAGATTGCTCAGGAACAGAAAGGAACAAAGACCAGCTGACAACCCGTCAGGAGCCCCTCTGACAGGGACGCCCGGTGGCACTTTAACTCCTTGCACATGGTGCAAATTATACCTTATGGCTCAGTAAATCACTGGAATTTGCAGTGGCTGCTGGCAATCAGGGACAGCAGAGTGACAATGGCAGGGGAAATTGCAGCTTTCTCCCCGGCCCCACCCAGCATTCTCTCCTCACATTGTGCCCAAGATTATCTCTAATTTAAATACAATGGCCCCTAATGATAGTTTTTAATGCTGGCTCCACAGGATTGCTGGTCCCTCTTTAAAGAGACACTGCTCCTTTTCTTGGAATGGGGGCCAAGCTTTTGAAAGCAGCACTGGGCTGGTGACAGGCGGAGGGGGGCCCCTCCTCTGTGAGAGCTTGAACCGTGCAGCAAATGTGTTCAGAGGGGGCTGTCAGGCAGGCTTCCAAGAAGGGGCTGTTGCGAGCATGGCTGAAGATCAGTGGGCAAGGATGTTTCTTTTGTTGCCAGCTGTGCTAGCCGAGAATGTGCTGTAAATGAATCCCCGTCCTAGGTGGTCTGGCTCTCTGTGTGATAGGGCTGTTCTGATCTTGCCCGGCTGCGCCGAGTCCTTGGGATTAGCCCCAATTGTAGCTATCAGTAACAGCAACTGCTGGGCTTGAAGCAAGCAAGCAGCTGCCCTTAGAAGCATCCACTCCATCTTGCAAGGCACAGCTTACCTTGTCTACGCAGGGGATGTTGCCCATTGTATGTCTACATGAACCACATTTCTGACAAGTCTCCCACCCTTGCTTGTGGTGGCTAGTACAGAGAGAGCTCCAGGCACCTATTTGTATTTAAATCATCACAACTTTATCCAAAGGGGTCTCATTAGCTGCATGTCCACATTAAAAGTTATGTACCGGTCACGTCCCGCCCACTTAATTAACCTAATTAACACAGGTCCTACAATTGACAGGTACTTCTGCTGTTATATAGATCTCTCCGTTTCTGTTATTTCTGCTCCAATTCACCTGATGAAGTGGGTTTTGCCTGCAAAAGCTCATGATTCAATATATTTATTTTGGTTAGTCTCTACAGTGCCACTGGACTTAGTCGTCGTTTTTACAGTGCATACAAAGTTAGTCTTTCCCAGACTAATGCTATCAGCAGTAAAGCAGTGCAAGTAATGAATTAGGGGCCCTATTTTTGCCAGTCAACAATGCTACAGGGGCTGTCTAGAGTAGGGCTTAGAGCCCTTAAAAGCCATTAGAAGAGTCATAATTAGAGAGGCACTATGATCTAGTCTAGCAGATGGGGAACAGAATTGAGACTTAGGAGAGCTGGCTTCTAATCTTAGCTCAAATGCTGATGGAGACTACCCTTTCCCCTCCCTCGTTCAAGTCTGTCTTGCCAGACTGAGCACCCTTTGGGTCAGAGAGTGTGTGTGTGTCTGTGTAGTGCCCAGCACGCTCTAGCTTTTACTGTAATACAGATGACAATACCAATGCAGACAAGCTGGTTGAATAGTAAACAAGTTATAGATTCACCAGTATTTCAGCCATCAAAAGCAATGAGTCCTATTTGCTAGACTACTGGGAGTTCTATTAACCACACTTATCAATATAGACCATCTGGCAGGTATTCATGAAAATGTCTGCAAATCCTGTAATAATTGAATCACAAATGATTAACTGTCTGAAAGTTCATGCTGAAAAGCACCATATTCATGGTGCTTCTGTTTAAAAATGTTCAGACATCCAGTCAAAGAGAAGAAACTCATGACTTAAGTAACCAATCACCAGCCATGAATACCGAGCCGGTAACAAACAGTCAAATCAAACAGCAGGAGAGCACCACAGAATCTGAAAATTATTTTTCCAGACTATTTGATGACATGGTAGAAAAAACCCCAGGATCAGTCTGTGAAATGTTTGCTAACTGAGAAAAGGCTAACTTTGTAATGCATATTGCAAACATAGAACATGACAAGTTCTTGAAAGTTACATTCTGAATTATAATGAAGTTAACATACTGTATCTCTTGACGCTACAAAAATAATCAGGTGAAAAACAGTTGTGCAGCACAACATGATTTCTTCTTAATTGTATGGACAGAACCTTCCCTCCCCTGCCACCTCTGTGCCATGGCATAGCCCGGTTCGGGAACTGTGGTCTAACTTTGATGCACAACTACAATACTTCATGCTTATACATTCCCTTAACTCTTGCTGATGATACCTGCATGTTCTAACATTCCACCGACTTGACAACATGCTTCCAGTACAGTAGTCATTGCAGAAGGTATCAACAGTTCAAGGGATAACATAATGACATAGAAAGTTAAGTATCAGGCACTTCTATGATTCTATGATTCACTTACAGCCCATTCTATTAGCCTCATTTAGCATGGACACTAATGAAAAATAATTTACCCATTCCCCTTTTTCTGCTATTTATTTGTAACTCTGGACCCCTTGATTCATTCATCTGAAGAAGTGGGCTGTGCCCATGCAAGCTCATGGTACTAGCTACATTTTTTGTTAGTCTCTAAGGTGCTGCAAGACCATTCTTCCCCTCCACCCCCCCAGGTACAGACTAACACAGCAACCCCTCTGATTCTTTCCTTAGCTGAGGCAAAAAAGTCACTTTTTTCATCAGGGGTCCAAGGAGCAGGAGAGTGCATAAGCTCTTCACAAAGGTTGGCCTGGGGTGTATCTTTTCCCTGCCTCATCTACCATAGTTAGTCTTTGATCTGTGCTGGAGGTCTCAGCAAGTCATCCTTTAAAGCAGTGGTTCTTAACCTCTTTGGCACTGTTACCCCGTAAGCTTAACTAATCAATCACAATTATCCCTCCTCCTTTTTAAAATGGCAAAAGACAAAAAGAAAATTACCATTAATCATTTTTATTGTATTTCGTTTTCTCATACTTTCTGTTGAACAAAATTGAACGCCCATTATATTTTAAACTTACTACCCCCTGAAATATGCCAAATTACCCCTCGAGGGGTAATTACCCCCAGGTTAAGAACCACTGCTTTAAAGTTTAAGCTCTCGCCTGCTGTGTTTTTGGAGTGACCTCCCTTTCTCTCTGCTGCGTCAGAAGAAGTCTGCTGAGCTGCACAAACAGCTCCTTCACAACACCGCACTAGTCCCTCAGCAGGTTGTATTTTTTCACTCCATGGTTGGCTTGGTATCTGGAAGGCTGTTATAGATCCATCTCTGAAAACACAAACTTCTGAAAATGAAGGCCCCAGACTCCGCGAAAACCCTTTTCATATTGACCACATAACAGGGACAAAGTACACTCCAGGGACAGCTTTCCAAAACAGCCTACTACAAGAAATGAAAGCCCCTAGGCTGTTCCTCTCACTCACTTGGGTGCTGGGAAGCAAACTAAATAAAAAGGATGTGGAAAAGCCCCCAAAATCAATATTTATGTTATTAATTTTCCCTTGCTTTGTCTAGTCTCTGAACTGTCATGTGCTCCCTGTTCCAGGGACGAGGACAGTCATTTGATTTAATGCCAGCTTTCCTCCAGTCTCCCATGAGAGGAAGAGCAGAAAGGTGAAATAAAGAAAAAGAAAGAAGGAAAGAACAGAACACCAATTATCAAGTGTTGCCACTAGAGAGCTCAAAAGTAAAATAAAATAATCTTTCACTTTGTGGCTGCTCATTCATTATTAACTTAGAACAAAATGTTCTAACTCGGAATGGTTTGCATACTAAACAATACCCAAGGAACTCTCAGATCCACAGGACAGGACGAGACCTTTATGTTGCAGGCTTCCAAATGAAACCTCTGGATCTTCACGGCACAAAGCTAGCTTTTTAGTTCTTGGGCTTTGTTTCTTTTGTATCTTTTGGTCTCTTTTGAATAGCTATTGCATATGGTGCTAACCCCTTTGCTGCTGCTAGAACATGTGTATGCCACATGGTCATCTTCCATTCCTCGGTGCGGCGTCAATCCAGGTTGGTATGGCAGCAAAGGGGAAGCTGATACTTTATAACGTAGAACTAATCCTTTCTTAAACTTACTACCCCCTGAAATATGCCAAATTACCCCTCGAGGGGTAATTACCCCCAGGTTAAGAACCACTGCTTTAAAGTTTAAGCTCTCGCCTGCTGTGTTTTTGGAGTGACCTCCCTTTCTCTCTGCTGCGTCAGAAGAAGTCTGCTGAGCTGCACAAACAGCTCCTTCACAACACCGCACTAGTCCCTCAGCAGGTTGTATTTTTTCA